TTCTTTTTCCCTCTATTTTGAGCAGTCCTTCCCATTGTGAAATTGGCATTTTGACTATGTGGTTAACACTAGATTTTGTTTTAATTAGTAATTTATGTTTTTGTGTTCACATTTACAGTTATAAAAAAGTTCTAAAAGTAAAAAAAAGTTTTTTACTCTTGATATATACAAGGTTGCGTGAGTTTTTGCAAGGCATGGCAGATGTCCGGGGGAGGGGTCACTAATTCGGACAAAGCCGGACAAGGGGGGGAGGGGGGTTCTGAAAATCCATTATTTGGCCGGACATCTTTTGTGAATGGCCCCTTAGGTAGATATAGTGAAATAACCGAACTTTTTTTGTATCTACCTCACGTTCGGTATGTTAAATTTTATAGTTATTTATATTTTTTGCCTGTGATTAATTTAGCCTACCAAAGTTGTAATGGTCTAACTAAATTATTGTTACAGCTTTGTTATATAGTTATTCAGTCATGCAAAGGCTTTCAGAAATTATTAGTGTGTGTGTGTGGGGGGGGGGGGGCAGTTTTCCCCTCGGCCCCTTAGTATCATTGACCCATTTACATGTACATCATAACAGCCTCTCTAAGTAGTAATTGATACTTCACTGGGGTCAAGTTATCAAAGGTTAAAACTTAAACCGTCTTTACACTGCGAACTTTTGCCTGATTTGAAAGAAGGCTAAGCTTTGTCAGGCTATAAGCTTATTTTGATACACTGCTTGCATTGCCAACAATTACAGTAGGTCCAGATTCTCCAGCCTGGTTTAAGCCCAGGCCTTCATTGTGCATGCGCACTAGAATTGTGGTTAAATTACCGATGGGTTAGCACTATTTTCCATCCAGCAAACCGCCCTGTTATTTTCTAAAGTCGTTTCTTTTTGGATTTTTTTATTAATTCGATTAGGATTAGAGTTAGGGTTGCGGCTAGGGTTAGAGTAGGGTAGCGTTTGGGTTAGTTACATAGCGATTTAACACCTCTTCTATCTTCCGAAAATGACGTCAGGTCAGTTTGTTGGATGAAAAATAGTGCTAACCTTACCGATGCTGCTAAGTGCTGACACCAAGGGGTCTATACATAACAACAGGCAACAGCTCGCTTTCTGGCACGCAGTTAAGATTATAAACATACACTCAAAATTTATTATCCTTGAAAAAAGCAAGCAAACGAGATGGCATCTCGACAGGTAATATGAGATTTTGAGCTGTTTTTTAAAACATTTTACAATATTGGCATTCCGATTTTTGCAAAACGGAGCTTGGTAGTTAGGTTTGAAGTCACAGATGTAATAATTTACATCCACACATTTTACACGTGAACACATCAAACCGAAATTGGTCTAAAACACTCTCAGAATTTTTAGAAACGACAAATAAGTACGACATCAAAATTAAATCACTTTCGCTTTGGTGAGATTAAATTCCAGAACTATATCCAAGAGCCGGAACTCCAAATTCGCTTGTATTTACAAACAACATTTAGTAGCTTTGCTCACGCTAGTTTTATTTAAATTTACTAATTGTATGCACAAACACAATTACACAAATAGTAGGGGTATATCACTCTATCATATGTCTTAATGCTGAAGTCTATGTCGCAATGTATACTTAATAAATATCCCTTAAATTCTAGTGTTTAGCTTCCTAAAGACAGATTTCACATCAAATTCATGTGAAATGAAACGAATTTGGGCGAATAGCATAATCTCATGTTGTAATGAGGCGGAACGAATGTACATAAAAGCTTCTCTTGGTAATGTAAATACTGCGATAAAAAATCAATTTAAAAGTAGCTCAATTAAAGAGGAATAGATTTAGCGACGTGCTTTGTTGCACGCACAGCAGGTATTAATACAGTAACCGCAGCTGACAACAACTTGCCGAATTCGTAGAAGTCGAATTCTTGGAAGAAGGCTATCCGCCCACAAACGTTCACTCTTGATAAAAAAACAATGAGCCAGTGCGCTTTATATATAATAACTGGAGTAATTTTATTTTGCGCGAAATCAATTCGAAGTGAATTTACACTAGGAAAGTATCTATCAAATTAATTTGTGGTCAACATCGTTGAACTGCATAAAAGCATGACAATACTTTGTTAAAACGCATTCACTCTGGAAGGCTATCCGCCCACGTTCACTCTGACTTGCAAAAACACAGAGCCAGTATATATCATTGAACTATAAATAAACTGGAAGGCTAACTGCTATGATGAAGGCCTATGATTTGATGAAGCCAAAATAGTTTTTCTGAGTTATGAGCAGAAATACTTGACCCCAAACGTTCGGCTATATATCAAATTGAAGCTATTGAAAATTGCTATTCGGTGTGGAAATTTCAAGACTTCAGCGAAAAGAAAAATATTTAAAAAATACAAAAACAACTGCAAAATGGCAAATTATCGGTAATTATGTTTG